TTCCAAGCCAAAAAAAAAAAAAAAAAAGCTAAAGGACTTCCGGCCAAGATGGAGGCACAGGTAGATATACTTTGCCTCCTTGCACACCCAAAAGAAGGATAACAACAAATTTAAAAACAAAAATAACCAAACTACCAGAAAATCAAACTGTATGGGAGTCCGATAACTAAGGAGCTAAAGAAGAAACATTCATCCAGACTGGTAGGAGGAGCAGAGACGGGCAGCTGGGGCAGAGAGGATGCGCAGCAAGGTGGAAGCTGGAGGACTGGGTGGTCCTGCATTTGTGTGCAGATAAACTGGGAGGAACAGCTGAGGAGCGAGACAAACCATGCAACCCAGGGTTCCAGTGTGGGAAAAGAAAGCTTCAAAGCCTCTGGAGGTAAAAACCTGTGGGGGTTGTGGCAGTGGGAGAAACTCCCAGGCTCATAGGAGAGTTCATTGGAGAGACTCACGGGGTCCTAGAATGTACACAAACCCACCGGGGAATCAGCACTGAAAGGACCCAATTTGTGGGTAGCGGGAGAGGTGACTGAAAGCTGGCTGAGAGCCAAGCAAGTGGCATTGTTCCCTCTGACCCCTCCCCTAAGTGCAGCATCACAAGGCAGTGAGGTGGGTTGCCCCGCCCTGGCGAATACCTAAGGCTCCGCCCCTTCCAAGTAACAGGTGCGCTGAGACAAAGAAATACGGCCCAAATGAAAGAACAGATCAAAGCTCCAAAAATAGAACTAACCAAGGAAGAGATAGCCAACCTTTCAGATGCACAGTTCAAAACACTGGTAATCAGGATGCTCACAGGAATGGTCGACTATGGTCACAAAATGGAGGAAAAAGTGAAGGCTATGCAAAGTGAAATAAAGAAAAATATACAGGGAACCAACAGTAAAGGGAAGGAAACTGGGACTCACCAACAATTTGGAGCAGAAGAAAGAGATAAACATTCAACTAGAACAGAATGAAGAAACAAGAATTAAAAAAAAATGAGGAGAGGCTTAGGAACCTCTGGGACAACTTTAAATGTTCCAACATCTGAATCACAGGGGTGCCAGAAAGAATAGGAAGACCAAGAAATTGAAAACTTACTGGAAAAAATAATGAAGGAGGACTTCCCCAGTCTGGCCAAGGAAACAGACTACCTGGAGATCCAGGAAGCTCAGAGAGTTCCATAGGAGCTGGACCCAAGGAAGCACACACCAAGGCACGTCATAATTATGTTACCCAAGGTTAAAGATAAGGACAGAATCTTAAAAGTAGCAAGAGAAAAGGACACAGTTACCTACAATGGAGTTCCCATAAGACAGCCGATTCCTTAAAAGAAACTCTGCAGGCAAGAAGTATTCAAAGTCATGAAAAACAAGGACCTACATCCAAGATTACTCTACCCAGAAAAGCTCTCATTTAGAATGGAAGGGCAGATAGTGTTCCCAGGGAAGGTGAAGTTAAAGGAGTTCATCACCAAGCCCTTATTATATGAAATGGTAAAGGGACATATCTAAGAAAAAGATCAAAAACTATGAACAGTAAAAGGACAACACACTCACAACTATCAACAACTGAACCTAACAAAACAAAGAAGACAACTAGGACAGGAACAGAATCACATAAATGGAGATCAGACAGAGGGGGGAGGGGGAGAATGGTGGAAAAGGTACAGGGAATAAGAAGCATAAATGGTAAGTACAAAATAGGCAGAGGGAGATTAAGAATAGTATAGGAAATGGAGAAGCCAAAGAACTTATATGTACGACATGAACAGGGCGGGGTGGGGGGTTGGGGGCATGCAGGGCGGAAAGGAATAAAGGGGAGGAAAAAAAATGGGACAACTGTAATAGCATAGTCAATAAAAAATATATACACACACAAATAAAAAAAATATATACACACACAAATAAAAAAAATGCTAAAGGAGTTCATCACCAGCAAACCAGTATTATATGAAATGTTAAAGGGTTTTCTTTAAGAAGAAGAAAAAATATGAACAAAATGGAAATAAATATATATCACCAACTGAATCTAAAAAACAAACGGAACGAGCAGAACATTAACACTCTGAGAACGTTTTCAGGGTCGCCTCTCCAAGCACAAGAGACTCCCTGCTCTGTGGGTCCTCCAGCCTCACCACCTTCCAAGTGGTCACAGATGTCCCTTCACCCTTTACTTTGATCATTTTCTGGAATAAAGTTTCCATGCTTTTGTCTTAATTAAAAAGTGATGCTTTGGAAAGTGAGAAAAAAATTCAGGCTGCTATTTCTGGTTTGGTGGAATGAGTCCAAAATGCCATGTTCACTGTAGAGATTTTTCATTTTGATTGATTCTTCTAAATTAAACATCCCCCATGTTCATCCTCGGAGATGAATACAAGGTAGGAAAGGGATGCATGACTCGCCACGCTGGGAAATCTAAGGGGTGGCTCTGAAGAGACTGTGGAGACATGCCTGTGTGTCGTTTGTGAATGTCTTTTAAGCTCTAGCTGAAGCAGAAAGCCAAAAAGCCCACATCCTCCAATTTTCTTCTTTAATGCTTTTAAAACCACACATATTGGCAACATGTGCCTGACTCCCCTTTTTTTAAACCTTAAAGAAAATGAGCTCAATCCTTTTTTGAAACTTGAAGAAAATTATTTTTTTAAGTGCTCAAAACCAATAAAAAATTATTACTTAACATTTAACTGATACCTGATTGACAAGTGTTAGCGGAGCGCGGCCCTTCGCCCAGCACCGCGCCGTGCTGGCCCCGGACAGTTCTGCAGCACAGCCAGTGCCTACGGCGGAGGCTCACGGCCAACAGAAATAGGCGCTTCTATTACTTCATCATCCCACTCAAGGTGTTCATGGGTCCCCCCAAGAACGGCGGCATCTGAAGAGGCACTTCCACTTTCTCTTTGCCTCCTCCGGGCCTAGAAGTGTGGCGAGCACTTATGTGCTCAGGAAATGTCTGCTGAGCGAAGCTCAATGAGGGCACCATTATTAAAGTGTTTAGCAAAAAGAATTTTGATTACTGTCCTCTTCACTGGCCTACCTCCTCCATGCCCTCATGGTGCAGTGTCTCATTATGCTCAAATTTGTGGGTCAGATCTGCGCGTCAAATTTGCCAGGGTATGGACCTGGCTAGTGTGGCTCAGTTGGCTCAGCATCATCCTGCAAACTGAAGGGTTGCCTGTTTGGTTCCCAGTTGGGCCACATGCTTGAGTTGCGGGGCACAGGCCTGGGCTACAGGTTTGGTACCTGGTCAGGGTGTGCATGGAGGACAACCAATTGATATTTCTCTCTCACACTCATGTTTCTCTCCTCTTTCTCCCTCCCTTCCCCTCTCTCTAAAATCAGGATTAAAATTTTAAAAAATTTGCCAGGATGTGTATGTCTGTTATGGGCTGAATGTTTGTACCCCTCCCAATTCATATGTTGAAGCCCCAACCCACCCTGTGATGATACTTGGAGGTGGGGCCTTTGGGACATGATTAAGTTTAGGTGAGGTCTTGAGGGTGAGGCCCTAGCAAAGGGATTAGTGCCCTCCTAAGAAAAGACACCAGAGAGATGCTCTCCATCATGTGATGACACAGTAAGCCAGGAAGACAGTCCTAACAGGGAACCAAATCAGCCAGCACCTTGGTCTAGGACTTCCAGCCTCCAGCACCATGAGAAAAAAAAGCTTGTGTTGCTTCAGCCACACCCAGCCTGTGGTATTCTGTTATGGCAGCCTGAGTTGAGCAAGATGATGTCCTTCTCAGCTCCTGCCCACGACAGGACACAAATCCCTGGGGCAAACAGGGACAGGTCTCCCTTGAACCACAATGAAACACTAAAAAAAAAACCTGAACATTGAACATATTCTGAGGAAACAGGCAGGCTGACTTCTAGATGAAGACTCTAGATCAGTGAATACAGAGAGGGAGAGCTGAATCTGGAGATAAAGAGGTTAAACTCCAAATCTCTACTGTCTAGTGTGAGTTTAAAAAGCATCATCCACATAATGCATTCTTCAGTGCACTCTGAGGCACTCACATATCACTATTCATTTGTTTTTTCCTACCTTACTTTCTTTCCTCCGTCTTTGATCTCTTTAACCTCTCCTTGGGGTGGACACAGAACTGACAAGAAACAGAGTGAGGGCAACAGATAAGGTGGTGGCTGTCACGAGGATCAGGGTATGGATATCAAAGCCCAGCGTGAGGGAGGCCAGAGAAGACTATGGACGTTGAGTACAGTGAGACCTGGTAAGGAAAGGGGGCTTCCAGGAGGAGAGATGCCCAGGAGGGCAGAAAGGCAGGTACGCGGGGAAACTCTGGGCACTTCTCCACGCTGTCTGTGACAAGAGGCTACTCCTGCCATCTCGGTGCTGCCTGAGAGAAAAATGGAAACTGCCCCTGCCACCCCTACCGCTCCCTGAGGCACCCAGGCCTTGGGAAGGAGAGGCTGATGAAGCAGTCAGTACCTTTCTTCTCTACTACTCAGTTTGCTCTTGGGAACTATCAGAGAGGCAGCCTAACATTTATGCCTCCAGATGTTCATCATAGCATCATTTGCAGAGGTAAAGGATCTAAAGTTCAACTAGGATCCATCCTGTCAAAGAAGATAGAGGTTTTAAAACATACCCTTCCAAAGAATTTTTAATGATATAAAGGGGAAGATCCCACAGAATATTAAGAAAAGGTATATATAAAGCCAGACATATGTACAGTTTGATACCAATTACATAAATAGACTCACACACACACACACAAGACTGGAAAGAACCACTCTAACATAGTGCTAAGGATTGTTCTGTGCGGTAGAATTATAGGTAATGTTTCTTTTGTCCCTATGTTTTTTCCTCTAACATATTTCATGTTTTCTAAATGTCTTCAACTAAAGCCCAGAACTATAGAAAGAGGCAAAAACAATGGCAAGACAAATAAGGTGCATTTACTCCAATTTTGGGGGACTTTATCCCATGCTCCACTTGGAGGGTGCAGCTGACACCATCTCCATACACCCAAGAAGCCAGCCCCCCAACCCATCGCTTGCCTCGCCTCTCTGCTATCTGCAGGTAACCTGTGGAAAGGTACTGCTCCATGTCCTGCTGGAAGGCTTCCTCAAAAAACTTCTGCCGCTCCTTCAGCTTCATTTGCTGGGTATGCTCCATCTCCAGGACCTTCCGGCTGTGCTCTGCATCTAGTTCAGCTAAGGAAACAGAATAATTTGCGTCAGGGTTGAAAAGAAACTGCAGTAGGAAATGGATATAGATACCTACTCATAGCTACCCTCCAAGCTGATAATGTTAAACTCCGGTGGGCACCCCAGCTGCAATACAACCACCTCCTCTCCCCCAACTGGCTGCACTTGTTCCTGCCACCTTTGCTCATGCTGTTCCCCTGCCTGGAACAGCCTTCCCACCCACATATCTCACTCTTCACAGAAGAGATACTTGTCTTTCAAGTATCTCTCAGTTAATACCTCATCTCATGTGAATTTGCTACTCCATCCTGAGGTTTTCATAACACTGTGCTCAAACCTTTGTAACTGGCTTATACATTACAGTGCAACAGGTAAAATCTTGGACTTCCTGGAGGACTGTGGCCTCATGTTACTCATTTTAACATCAGCCAGCTCAGAGCCTGGCACAAAGTAAGGTCTCACTGTTTCTCAAAGAGCAAGATGTAGCCATTGTCGTCTAGTAGAAAAGTGTCTGGTCTTGGCTTTGTTGTTTATTAACTGTGCAATCAGGCTAAGTCAGCTCACCTTTATCAGCCTCACATTACTCATCTGAAAATTTGGGACAGAAATATTAACCCAATATTCATGTAAAACTTACATGAAATAATGTGAAAGAACATTATAATTAAAATAAGCAGCGACCCTTCAAGGTCGAGCTAAGGAAATAAGAAAACAGAGATCTCGGCCTGGCTGACACCCTGATTTCAAGCCTGTTTTCACACCAGGCCTTGACTTCTGATTGTGAGCTACTGTGCACTGTTTAAGCTAATAAGTTTGTAGTGATCTATTATGCAGCAATATGGAATACTCCAAATAAGCTGTCTATATGAATGGCAGCTCCTGCTCAAATCTGACTTGCTGAAACTGAAAAAGTAACCACTTGAGTTCTTTGCCTTAAATATTTTGCAATGCCCACCCTGCGACAGACACCATGCTTGGGTGAGTTTGGCAAGAGAACAACGTTTCAGCTACCTACTGTGCTGGAATAAACGCAGAGCCCAAAACAGTGAAAAACTTCACCAAGGCACTGTTCTCTCTGGTTCATCTCTGAGAGTGTTTAATATCTTTGCGATATTAAAACTCATACAACTCAAAACGCCCCCAACAAAAGCTGATTTTAAAAAGGCACAGAGGATCTGAATAGCTATTTTTCCAAAGAAGAGATACAAATGGCCAACAGGTATATGAAAAGGTGATCAACATCATTAGTCATCAGGAAAATGCAAATCAAAAACATAATTAAATATCTCACACCTGTTAGAATGGTTATTCTCAAAAAAGACAAGTTGGCAAGGATGTCGAAAAAAGGGAACGTCTGTATACTCTTGGTGGTACTGTAAACTGGTGCAGCCACTATGGGAAACAAGATGAAGGGTCCTCAAAAAACTAAAAAGAGAACTACCATATGACCCAGCCACCCCACTTCCGGGTATTTAGCTAAAGGAGATGAAAACAGGGTATCGAAAACATAGCTGCACCCCATGTTTACTGCAGCATTATTCACAACTGGCAAGATAAGGAAACAGCCTAAGTATCTGCCAATGGATGAATGAATAATGAAGATGTGAACATATACAATGGAGTATCATCCAGCCGTGAGAAAGAAGAAAATGCTGCCATTTGAGACAACATGGATGGGCCTTGAGGGCATTATACTGAGATAAGCCAGAGAAAGATAAATATTGTATGATACCACTTATAAAAACCAAGCTCATGGGACAGACAGTAGAATGGTGGTTACCAGGGGCTGGGTGGTGGGGCAACTGGGGAGATCTTGGTCAAAGGGGCAAACCTGCAGTTAGAAGGTGACGAAATTCTGCAGATCTAATGCACAGCACTGTCATTACAGTCAACAATATTGTATTATATATTTTGAAATTTCTAAGAGACTAGATCTTAAATGTTCTTACCACAAAAAATAGATAATTATGTGCAATAGGAAGTGTTAGCTAACTCTATAGTGGTATTCATATTGCAATATATAAATGTATCAAATCAACATGTTGTACACCTTAAACTTACACAATGTTATATGTCAATTATATCTCAATTAAAAACTCTTTGGGATATTATCAAAAGATTATTAACAACAACAAAAAACAATCATAGTTGCCCTAGCTGAGTGGCTCGCTCGGAGCATAGTCCCATACACCAAAAGGCTGCAGGTTTGATTTCTGGTCAGAACACATACCTAGGTTGCAGTTTCAATCCCTGGTTGGGGCCTGTCCCAGAGACAACCGATGTTTCTCTCTCACATCAATGTTTCTCTCCCTCCCTTCTTCCCTATCTAAAATCAGTAAGGGTGAGGATTAGAAAACCACCACCACAACAACAGCAGTACTAACAATGAGCAATGGTCCACAGGCCCCACGTGACTGATCTGCCTTAGCCACTCCCCTAACCCTCAAATACCCAACACCACAGTTCACAAATCCCGAGTTCTATATAATCCTGTAGGCAATGTATTGTAAAAACTCAATAATGGAGTATATATTTATTCCAATTTGGTTATAGTCTCCAATACTTACAATATTCTGGACATTCTTCTTCTATTCTAATCTACATAAACGAATGTCTGTCTGGAAAAAGTCCAGCCATTGTTAATGTACAAGAACAGTTTGCGCGACCCTGATGGAACCTGGCAGCCAAGGAGAGTGGACTGGAGCGCACATGCGTGAACAACGATGACTTCACTGTGCTAGTCAGTGGGGGGCAGTAGGCATCATTGAGTGAGCATGTGGCCATCACATTCAAAGTGACTGAGTGAGTAGAGCAACAAATCTGTACCAAATTTTGCATTAAGCTGGAATATTCCTCCTTAGAAACTATTTGGACGATTCAGAAAGCCGCAGCTATCGGCAACTGGTGATTGGCAGTTTCATCATGATAACACGCCCGCTCATGCATCACTTCTTGTGCAGAGTTTTTTGTCAAAACATCAAATCTCCCAGATGACTCAGCCCCACTACAGCCCAGATTTGGCACCCTGCTGTTTCTTTCTTTTCCTAAAGCTAAAACCACCTTTGAAAAGGAAGAGATTTCAGCCCATTGATGAGATTCAGAAAAACACAACAGGGCAGCTGACAGCGACTGGGAGAACTGTGTAGGTCGCAAGGTGCCAAGGTTGAAGAGGACTGAGGCGTCATTGTTTGATGTGCAAAGTTTCCTGTATCTTGTGTCTTCTTCAATAAATGTCTCTATTTTTCAAAGTACATGGCTGAATACCTTCTGGACAGAGCTCATATGTAAGAAGTACAAACAAATATTAATCAAAGCAACACAAACAGGAAAGTAAATCTTTCCAAGTACATATAATCCTATGTATAATATTGATGATGTGCATTCCATTCATACTGTTACAATCCTTATGTGTGTTCTCTATATTTCCGTATCACCCTGATTTACACAATCCCCCTATATCTTTGTTTACAGGGAGATGTGACCTGAAAGGACAGGTTTTGGAATCAGTCAGTCCGGGCTGGGGCCCTATCCTTTTAGCAGATGCTTTTGGTGCCTCACGCTACATCCCTCCAGTGCACCTCTGATCTCAGCTGCAGCTCTGGCAGGCAGCTCTGTGTTCTCCTTCATATGCCCACAAGGCCCCACCTTATGCCTATGCCTGTGCATCTGTGTCTTTCAGGTCAGAGTATTGTCTGAATCCTGGAACCTGCAAGCCCGCATAACCCAAAAGTTCTGGGGAGTTAGGGTAGCTTTCCCCCACTGGGCGACAGAAGTCAGTGTACCAAAGCCCCAGTCTCCCACCCTTTGGCTGGAGGATTCTAGGAGGCATTCCGAAAACTTCTCAGAGATCCTAGGGGAGCTGCAGGTCCTTGGCTATGGCAGCCACTGGACTAATCCACCCTTTATTGACTTTTCCTCCTGAGCTCTCTCTCTGCACCCTCACTCCTGCCTCCTGGGATCATCTCCCAAACTTCCTGCAGCAAAATCCTCATCATGGTCTCTGTGTTAGGGAAACCCAAGCCAGGGTATCTATTACTAGCTATAACTAACCTAATCTCTCTGTGTCTCAACTTCTTCCTCTGTACAAATAAAGGTTTATTTCATTAGGTTGTTGGCAGGATCATAGGAGGTAAATGTGAATCGCCAGACACACAGCACTGACCAACAGCTGAGGGCAAATATTACTACCAGCATTGTTTAAAACAGCAGATTCTTGAAAAGGAAGTGATCTGACACACTACTACAACCGAGGATGAATACAATACTGAGAATCACCCTCCCCCAACCCCACTCAGACACTTCAGAATTAGTCACATTTCAGTGCCTTTAATAAATCTGCAAAGAACTTAGAGTATACTCGCAAGAGCAGAAAAAAAAGAGAACTGAGAAGGATGTCTTTTGATTTGTTTCACTTCAGCCATCAAACCTGTCTGTTCAACGGCTTCACGGTTGCCAAGTGCATTAGAATAAGTCAACCCTAAAATAGATTACGTACACTTCAAACACTGAAACAAAGTTCAATTAGTTTAAAAAAAAATTCCAGAATAAGCAGCTCAAAAACAAAAATCAATGTAGAAATCATTAAAGGGGTTTTCACTGAAGAATATGTTGTTTTAACTGAATTATGATTTTCTATTTATAGAGAGAGATAATTACGTCATTTGAAAACTTCTTTTCAAGATTTCTGCTTCAAAAGTTCAGTTCTCTCATGTTTCTCAATTTTAAGTCCTATAGTTTTTTAGCTTAGGTTTTCTGTATTAGAATGGAATCTGATCATATCTCAACCTTCACAAAGGGGGAGGTTTGGATTAGGAAACTTTAAATGGCTTAAAGGAAAAAAAATAACTTTTAATTTTTAAAACATGTTACATGCTGGTTTGAAATATTTCCAGCTGCCCTACACCGGCCCGCACTGTTTCAGAGCCCCTCTCCTACCTGGGGCTGGCCACCAAGCATCTCTGAAAAGCGAGTACAGTCCCGCTACACCAGCTCTGCACTCAGGACAA